GAGCTGCTTCCCCTTATCTACCAGCATCTGCTGCACGCGGGCTACGTGCGCGCGGCGCGGGAAGTGAAGGAGCAGAGCGGCCAGGTAAGGGATCGCGGGCCGCGTGCGGGATCCGGAGAGCAGCGGCTCGCGCCCCCACCCCAGGAGACCTAGACCTGCGGGCCCGGGGTCCTGGGGGTGCGGGAGGGATTCGTAGCCTCTCCCTACCCTCTACTACTTCCAGCCCCCACCTCGGCCTCACTTTCCCCGGTCCGTGTAGTAGGCGTGCCGGGACACGGACTTCAACGGCCAGGGCTTTGTAATTTCCCCAGCCCCTTACCTCCACCCCCTTCCTGGTAGTGGCGGTGTTAAGTTTTCTGAGTCTCCCGCCACGTGGCCCGGCGCGGCCCCCTTGGACCGCAGAGGTTGCTGGGGGTGTCTGGGTGAGGAGCGACCAGTCCCCCAAGAAGCCCCCTAAGAAGATGGACGCCATAGTTAAAGATCTGGAACTCAGGCGCTTGGCCCATGCTCGGTACTGATAGGACAGCTTTGGGGAATGGAAAGTTTTGGTTTGTTTCTTCATTCATTTGGCAACTGTAAATTAGGCGCTCATGGTGCTGGTGATAGAATGATGAGCACTGCCTCTCAGCCTTCCTGGATCTTAACAGTGCTCTAGGAGATACACATTAAAGAATCTTAAAAATGACTGAACACTGCATTAAGTAGTAGAAATGAGAGACATGGGGTACGAAAAGAGGGATGGCAGAGTGCCCTTTCAGGACTGCTTTCCTGAGGAAGTGACACTTGATTTGAGATCTGAAGGAAGGAAAGGTGTTCCAGGCAGTGGTGCAAAAAAAGCCCTTCGAGTTACACCGTGGCCTCCAGCAGAGTCCGCTGTAGCTGAAGTGTGAGGTACAAAGGCTATAGTCTGTCAGGGAGGTGGAGGCAGAGGCTGGCCTGAGCTGTCCCTGGGCAGTTTGGTCTTTGCCTGAGGAGCAGTGGTAAACTGTTGCAGTTTTAAGCGGGTGAAATGGGTATTGACCTGACTAGTCAGTGTCAATTTGGCTAGAGTAAAGGCTCTGGTCCTAACTCTTGCTCTCAGAATCTCCTGGAGGAACCGAAGTGTGATGAACCCTAAGACATTAGCTATGATTTTCCTAACCTCTGGATCTCAGTTCCCGGCTTGCTCCATTTATATCGCTTCACAGAGAAGTGGAGCAAGAGATAGTGCCCATCTTTATTAGAGTGTGTGCCCAGGCAAAAGTATCTTGCCCTTCTGTGCTCTCATGGAGCAAATGGCCTAGCAGAAGCAGACAAATAAAGTGGAAACTCACAGTGTAGTATATCCAGTTGATGGTAGGTGTTGGCTGTCACAATAAGGAAGGCAAGGGGGAGAAGGAATGTCAGAGTCCAGGTATAAGTGGGGAGTGGGGTAGTCAGGAAAGCCTTATTGAGGAGGTGACGCTGGGATAGAGACCTGAAGGAAACCAGAGAGTAAGCTGCTGTGTAGTTAGCAGAGGAGAGAGCAAGAATGGCAAAGCCCTGTTGGGAACTGGTGGCCGGACACATTTGAGGACAGTGAGAGGGCCAGGTGGAAACTGATGCTTGGAGCCCTAGCTCACCGTGCTGTGCACTGTCATAAATTCTCCATCAGCCTGACAGCAACTTGGAATGTGGGTGTTGCTGTTCTCCCCAAGATGTAAAGAAAGGTCCTGAAGTTTGGCGAGGTAAAGAGATTGGCTCAGCGAGCTAATAGGAGCTCTGCCTCAATCAGGTGTGCCTCCTGGCCACTGTGCTCAGGTTGCTGCCACTCTTCCTGCCACATTGTTCATAAGCCTCCTTGGGGCACTTGACACACTGGGTTCTTGATGTTTGCAGAGAGCAGGCAGGCCTGTGGCCTCAGCTTCGAGGGTCTGGATTCCACCTGGTTGCTTCTGCTTTTGCCAAGAAATTGGTACCCTGTAGGCTTAGGCTTTTTCCAGCAGACGAGTTGGCTGTGGTCATTGCCACTTGGATGCCTCAAGTGTCTGGGCTGTGGGTTGTGCTTTAGGGACAATGACTGACCAAGCCCTTGAAGGATTTCTGGAAGGTTGTACTAGGGTGGGAGAAGCCTTGTCTCATAGCGGTATAGGCATGGATAGTGCCAGGGAGGCTGGATAAAGAAATGCTATCTCAGACCTAGAATAGCAAAAGCCATCCTAGGCAGCAGACACATGGTAGCGGGTATAACAATTCCCAATTTGAAACTATACTACACAGTCACTGTGATAAAAACAGCATGGTACTGGCAAAGAAACAGGCCTGAGGTTCAGTGGAACAGACTGGAAGACACAAAAACAAATCCAGATGTACTCAGCTACCTCATTTTTGACAAAGGAGCTGACCATCCTCAGTGGAGGAAAGATAGCCTCTTTAATAAATGGTGTTGGAAAAACTGGATTTCAACCTGCCAGATTAAAACTGGACCCTTATCTTTCACCATGCACTAAATTAAAATCCAAGTGTATTAAAGATCTAAATATTAAAACAGAAACATTAAACTTGATAGAAGGTAAGTTAGGCAGAAGTCTGGAAGACATTGGCATAGGAAAAGACTTTATGAACAAATCCTCAGTAGCACGGGAACTAGCAGATAGAATCAACAACTGGGATCTCATCTTATTAAAAAGCTTCTGTAGTGCAAAAGAAACCATCAGCAGAACTAAAAGACAACCTACAATGTGGGAAAAAAATTTTACCAGCTGCTCCTCAGACAAAGGACTATTATCTAGAATATATAAATAACTCAAAACAATCAGCTCCCCCCAATATAAAGACCTGATTCAAAAATGGGCATCCGAAATGAACAGACATTACTCAGACAAAGAAGTAAAAGCAGCAAGTAAATATATGAAAAAATGTTCCACATCACTGGTCATTTGAGAGATGAAATCAACACTGAGATTCCACCTCACCCCACAAAGAATGGCTGCTATCAAGAAATCACACAATAATAAATGTTGGCGGGGTTGTGAGAGAAAGGAACCCTTCTTCATTGTTGGTGGGATTGCAGACTGGTGCAACTACTATGGAAATCAATATGGAGATACCACAAAGAGCTGGGACTGGAGGTTCCATTTGACCCAGCCATCCCTCTGCTGGGTATCTTTCCAAAAGAACTGAAAGAATCATATCACAGTGATATATGTACACCCATGTTTATAGCGGCACAGTTTGTAATAGCTAAAACTTGGAAACAGCCCACTTGCCCATCAGTTGGAAACTGGATAAAGAAGATGTGGTTTTTCTATAAAATGGAATATTACTCAGCCATAAAGAATGAGAAAATAGATTCATTCATAGGAAAATGGATACATATTGAAGATATACTCTTGAGTAAAATAAATAAGTCACACGTGTAAATACCGAATAGTTTCTCTGGTGTGAATAAACTGCAATAATACATAAGATCCTAATGAGATTACTGATATTGTGAAATGGGAAGAAAGGGGCTAAAGGTGTAGGGAAGGTGGGATGGATAGGGGAAGGGTAATAAGGGAAAAGAAAAAAATGTGAGAAAATAAAAAGATGGAAATAAAGTGCTTGTAGATGGGGAGGGGAGGAGGGGGTGAAGGGAGGGCAGGCACAAGGGGAAAAAATGAGAACCGAGACCTGTCATGTAGAGGTACAAGATCCCAACAATGAATGTAACTGTACTGTATCCCTAAAATGTACCAATAAGCTCAATTAAAGCTGAAAAAAAAAAAAAAAAAGAAATGTTATCTGAGAACATGCCAGTTCCAGCCTTTCAAAGATACCTCTTACCAACATGCTGTGTTAAAAAGTTATAATCTGTAATCGCTTGCCTTTCTTGTCTCCGGAAGATTCTGAATGTTACAGAAGGCCATGCAGACATACTTCCCAGGTCAAGAAGACCCTTTGCCGAACCACCTGTCTGTCTGGGGTCAGGGAGAGCTTGGCCCAAGGAAGGTATTTACTGTGCTTGGGGTTGATTGCAACTCTCTCTGTGTTTCTTACAGAAAAGTCTCCTGGCTCAACCTTTCACCCTGTTGGACATCTATACACACTGGCAACAGTAAGTTTGGTGGAGCTGATGGGTGGGATAGGGCCAGCCTGGAATAAGCTAAGATACTCCCCCAGCTAAGTTAAGGTTTCTCCCCTAACCCCATAGCACACTATGGACATTCTTGTCACACCTCAGGAAGCCAGGTCACATCAAATGTGTGTATATCTGGTAGTAGGAAGGGAAATTGAGAGCTATGATTCCTTAAGAACAAAAGCTTCTTGTCAGGCATGGTGGTGCACACCTGCAATTCCAGCACTTGGAAGGCTGAGATAGGAGGATCTCCATGAATTTGAGGCCAGTCTGAACTACATAGTGAGACCCTGTCTCAAAAAATAAAATAAAATAAAATAAAAGGCTTCTCTCTAGCTTGTTATTCACATGACCAACAAACATTTATAAACGTCTGTGGAATGCCAATTCACGGTCTAAGTATGGAGATGCTGCCATGAGACAGACCTGGTTGCTTCTTCCCTGTGGCCAACATTGCACTCAAGGAGATGGGCATGAGTCAAAGAATGAAACAAATGAACATAAAATGATGATGTAGTAAGGGTTACCAAAGAGAGGAACTTGTGCTATGGCACAAATTGATAAGCCTCGCCTCCTTGAGGGCCTCGGGAGGCTTCCCTGAGATCCCCTCTGCCCTGAGAGCTGTGCGGAACAGCACTGAACTAGGCCAAGGCTATGGAGAAGCAGGCAGAGTGTACCCAGCAGTAGCCAGCGGACAGTACAGGTGAAACCAGCAGTCAGCAGGGCCTGACCCTCCAAGGTGAGACGGACTCCTGAAGAGCAATGGGAGCCGGAAGGACGAGGCGCAGTGGGGTCCCTCCGTGGTGGGAAAACCAGGTGGGCCTGTAGACCCCCTCATCAAGGGTGAGGACAGCAGTTTCGGAACATTAGGGGAGGAAGCCACACCTGTGGATGAATTAGAGGGGAAGGATCTAGGTGACCCCCAGATCTGGCTTACACGCCTGGGTAGAAGGTGGGTCAGTGCATGGGACTGAAAGGGAGCCAGTGTGGAGGGTTAGAGTCCCAAGGGCATGTGAAGTGTGAAATAAATTTGGTTGGTTTTTGTGGTACTAGGGTTAAAACCAGGGCCTTTGCACTGATTTGCATCCCCAGTCCCTTATTTATTTTTTTATTTTGAGACTTCCCAAGTTGCTAAGTTGCCCAGTTTGGGCTCAACTATGATTGTCTTGCCCTAGCCTCCCAGAGTGCTGGAATTAAAGGTGTGCGCTACCACGCCCAGCTGAAACTTGTAAAAGTTAAAATTTTCCAAGAAGGGGACTTTTACGGGTGTATCTACACAGAAATGAAGAATGAAGAAGAAGATATGTTATCCCCGTGTACTCACCTGATCAGCCACCTAGGGGTAGGAAGTGCTATAGACATGTCCCATGGAAAAATGGTAGCAAAGCCAGGCATGGTAGCACACACCTGTAATCCCAGCACTCTGGCAGGCTGAGGCAGAAGGATCAAAAATCCAAGCCCAGCCTGGACTGCTTTGCAAATTTTGAAAAAAAAAAAAAAAGAACTAAGAATAAAGGAAAGGATGGTTGTGTTCTGCCCGTCCACTCGGTTGACCATAGCCAACTAGGGAGGTGAAGGATCTGTACATATGTCCTGTGAAGAATAGTAGCAAGAAGCCGGCTTTGGTGGCACAGCTGTAATCCTAACACTCAGGAGGCTGAGGCAGGAGGACTGCTGTAAGTTCTGGGCCAGCCTGGACTACATAGTGAGTTCAAGGCTAGCCTGAACTATGTGAAACCCTGTCTCAAGAAAAAACCGAGAATGGTAGCAAGTATTGGGAGGGGCTGAGGCACTGCCTTCTGCACATCTTTGAGGTCAAAGGAAGTAGTGTTTTGGTGGGGAGTTCCATGTATGAATCTTCTTTGGAAAGACAAGTTTCTGCTCGTGAATACAAAGATTTGATCATCTGAGCTATCCAAAAATGAGACAGATGGCGGAATGGTGAGTTCCCACATTAGTAGCATGTGAGCAAGGGCAGGAATGGTATAAGAGGGATCCCAGCTCCTGGTAGAGAGTGAGAGGCATTGAGGACCCCACCAAACTCCTTTCTTAGCTCTCTGCTGCTGAGGTGAGCTCAGGGCTCAGGTGTGCGTGCTCCCTGTACATCCTTACCTAGAGAAGCACTTCAGTGAGCTGTGCTTCCTTACCACAGGCCTTTCCTACCACAGGCCCCTGCTGTGGGTGAGGGGAACTGAATAGGACCAGCATCTCACTGAGGCAGCCTAGCTGAGTGATGGCCCACAAATCAGACTCACTAACGGTGTGACCTGAAGCAACTTTCTTATCTCTCTTCACCTGTGAAATGAAAGCACAACAATTATCTCATTGCCTTGTGAAGAGTGTACATAGCAGTCTGCATGGTAGAGTGCAGATCCAGCCATTGGGAGCTGCCCCACCCCTCTGTGTATTGTGCACCTACTACAAGCCAGGCACTGTTCTTCATGGAGCAGGGAACACGCCAGAGGAAAAATGCCCTGCTCTTTTGTTTGTATTCTGTTGGGAGGAAGGAAGCTGAACTAATTGACACATTTAATAAATGAAATCTGCTTTTAGCAAGAGATTGCTGATAAGTGGCCTTCCTGGGAAGAAGGTACCTGAACAGCACGTGGCAAACTGGCAGAGCACCAGCTGAAACACGGGCATAGTCGGCAACTCACTAGGGGCGAGAGGGTGGGCTCAAACTTCACATTCAGGGATCTCGACCACCTGGGCACTTGTCCTGCCAGTGCCCCAAACATGCTCCTCGACACTTAGGGGTTCCTCCTCAAGATGTGTGAGCAGCCAGGCACCCTAACCCTGCCCTAGGTAGCACGGAGGGAGGGGCTTCACTCCCCACCCATGGATGCTCTCAGGCATCCCGGCCTGTCCATCTCTCTCCCAAGGCAGAGCTGAGGATCGGTGGGTTATGCTCGTGTTGGCAGTACTTGATAGGGGTTTCTTAATGCTGGATATTTTGCACAATTTTCTAGGTCTCATTTTTACATAGCCTTTTTTTTAAGTGGGAGAAGTAGGCCATGTGGCTATCTGAAGGGCCAGGTTATCAGAAGGCTGTTGAATTTAATAAGTTTTCGTTGCAGGTGAGCTGGCTGTAAGTGTGTATGTTTGTGTGTGTTCCTGTATGAATGTGGCTGGCTCCCATAACCCCTGGGCTGCCTCCTTCCGTCATCCCTGTCAGGTTGAGGAGCAGCCCGAGTGATGGGGACAGGGAACATGTGCATTCGTGGGGCACAAGAGACCCTTGGGCTCCCCCTGGGGCTCAGTCCCTCCTCCTCTTATCTTTCCTTCCTCCTGGACTATAGATAACCAGTAGCTGAGGACTTTACCACGCACACCCTGCCCCGGGGTTAGGCTTCCACGTGGGCCCCAGCAGCTGAGGCCAGGAGTGATGGTGGGGTGGGGTGATGGCATTGGGGAGCAGATGTCACCCTACAAGCCACACCCCCTCTTCTGAGCTCTGAGTATGGGACCCAGTGCCAGGGTCTAAAGGACAAAGTGTTTCTGCCAACTGAGGGGTTCCATCGAAAGCAAAGGCAGGAAGCAGCAGGGTAGGCCCAGAGGTGAGGAAGGTTGACCTGAATCTGGGCAAGAAGCCAGGAGGTGTACTTCCTTGTGAGACTAGAGAATTGTCCCTGTGACCCACTTCTCTGAACTTCAGGTGGGCCAAAGCCCTTAGAAAGTCACAGGAGTTGCCAGGTTTTGCCCTGCCTCGCTGCAGAGGCCAGTGGGTCACAAGATCCCCCTGGGAGAAAGAGCTCTGCCCCGTCATCAGGGCCCTGCGCCGTCCTGCAGTGGCCCTGTGAGGTGGGCAAAGCTGACAGGAGCAGGGCCTCTCACCTCCTTTTATTTAGGCCAGTATTCTTTGTTCCTACTTGTAATACAACTTGGTTTTAAGAGTTTGGTGCTGAGGGCACTGTAGTCAGCTGCCAGCCCTCTACCTCCGCTAGGCCTTTCTGGGTAGGGGGAGGCAGGCTTGCAATAAATAACAGGAGATACGGAAAAGTGCTCAGAAGGAAATGAAACGGGATGACGGCTGACACAGGGTGTAGACGTCAGCGAGGGCCTCTGAGTTAGGAGTTCAGAGGGGAACGGCGAGACCTAGGAATAGGGCCCAGCCTGGGCAGCAAGTTCAGGAGGAGGAGGCGCCTGGGTGGTGCTGCACAGTGCCACCTCGGGCCAGCCCCGGCACCAGCTGACCACTAGCTGCAGCTGTTGCGTGACCCTATCAGTCACTCATGATCATTCAAGACTGAATACTTTTACAATTTGAGAATAGCAAGTGCATTTTAATGTAAGTGGAAATGCAGCACACAAAATTGTACCTGCATTGTATCGTCACTGTTTAAACTCTATACATGCTTCTTTGGGGGGCCGGCAGTAGAGATGACTCTGTCTTTTCGAGCCTGGTGGAGCTGTCCTGTCACCCTTGACCTGCAGAACCTCAGAACTTGGCCAGAAGCGGAAGGCAGAAGATGATGCAGCGCTGCAAGCCAAGAGGATCCGAGTGTCAGACCCCATCAGCAGCTCCGAGAGCTCCGAAGAGGAGGAGGCAGAAGCTGAAGCCGCCAAAGCTAGTAAGAGCCCCAGCTGCTAGGTGTCACCAGGGCTTGGTCTCAGGCTTCCGTCAGGTGCCTATTGCTGGTACTCATGAGGACTCAGCCTGCACCTTTGGGAACAGCGTGTTGTGACTTGCTGGGTGCTCCAGTGTAGAGTCCTCCAGGCTTTCCTTAGTGTGAGCAGAAAGACAGCACCTCAGATCTGAGATCTTGTGTCCTCAAGCTCTGGGAATCCAAGGTGAACCAGGTGGGCCCTGCAGTTCATACGTCCCTCCAGGAGAGCCCAGCACCTGCGTTTTTACAAGCTCCTGGGGGATTGTGAGGAAGTAGAAAATCCGTGTTTGCAGCGGGCAGCTGGCTGCCTTGCCTGTGTGGCCTGAGGGCTGCTTGGGGAGTTGCCGACCGTCTCCTGGTCTTGGCAGTGTACACATGAGTGCTGGGGGCTGAGCTGGGCACTAGTTCACAGAATTGCAGTGACCTGGCACGGATGTCCAGCCTCTTCTTCCTCCAAGATTCAGGCCCTGGCTCTCCCAGCTTCAGCTGTAGCTCTACAGTGCAACAGCTGTCTCTTGAGCATCATGTTACCTTTTTTTTTTTGCTTATTCAGAAGGTACTTTCTTGATTTTTAAATACAATTTCTGATTATAAAGGAGATGCAAGATTAATTATAAAGTATTCATTACAGAATATTTGAAAATTACTTTGAAAAAAAGTCAGGGAAGAAATCATATATATTCTTGCCACCTACAATTCAGCAAATTATTCTCCCATTTTTTTTCCCTGAGCCTGCTTTTGAACATGTTTGAGATACTACTGGATATATATTTTATATCTTAGAAGCTTTTTTTTTTTTTTTTTTGGTACCGGGGATTGAACTCGGGTCCTTGCGCTTGCAAGGCAGGCCACCGAACCACTGAGCTAAATCCCCGGCCTTTATATATTTTATATCTTATTTAATCTCAAATTATAAATGCAAAACAAGATTGCTTCAAGCTATACAAAAGCATGTAGAAAATGGGAGGTTTCCTGTTCTCTCCCCGTTCCGTTTCACTTTCTACTCAGGACCTTGGTGGGTGGCTGTAACACTTCCTCCACTGCATTTACAGTCGGACAGATACCTATCTGTGCATACACGTGTGTAGTCCTGAATTGGGCTCAAAACAGAAATGGTCACACCTCACACTGGCTGTTTGATATTAGTCATTTTTTAAAAATTTATTAGCACATGTTTGCAGTGCATAATGGTTACATTTATTGTGGGGAGTTGGTACATGGAGATAATAAGTCTTAATTTTTTCTGATCAAACTCAGGACCTTGTGCTTGTGAAGCAGGCGGCAGAACCACTGAGCTAAATCCCCAGCCTCTTAATTCTTTTATTTTTGTCTTCCCATTCCCTATGCTTCCCTTCCCTCACCATTCACTCTTTTTTTTTTTTTTTTTTTTTTTTTTTTTTGTCAGGG